TTACACACTTACTGTTTTCTTCCATAGTTACAATTTTCTTTTTTTTCGTTTTTTTTTGGTCTATCAAAAACCAAAATAACATCACGGAATTAAGATGTTACATAGACTTTTTAAACAAAAATTAAATATTCAATCATGAAAAATTTTCAAAAAAGATGTTTCACATTGATCTCAGCACGATATTTTTTTTCTCCTTTAAACATTAAATGAATAATTGTTAATTTATTAATTTCTAATGCGTCATTTTAAACTAAGAAAAAAAAGAGATGAGGTGAATACCATGAAAATTTCAATATATAAAACCCCAGTAATGTTTCATTTACATGATAAGAATGTATGTTTTGATAATGTGAATTAAATTGTTTAATATTATAAGCAAAGAAGGATAGTGGTTAGTAGTGGAATCCAGTTTGATGTGCATTTCGTTCTATTTGAGAATCATCAGTTGGATGTACATGCATCGCAGTTGACATTCACTTCTGGGATTCAAACACAGTACAGTTTGCTTCAAATGCTACTACTTAGCTAAAAAGTTCTGATAGCCACTTACTTATGCAATAAGTATATCCATATAATAGAACGAAACACGCAACCTGGATTCCATTACTAGTCACTATGCATCTTTGTATATATTGCTTGTGAATCAAGACAATATCGAGGCAATACGCACAGTATACACATATACCAATAAGACACTGAACAAAGGTAGTTCTAAACACTAATCTGAAGATTCAAGCAGACAATTCCAAGTGAATTTAAACTGATCAATGTCCGATTATATATATATATATATAATCAATATAGAAGTTATAGGATTGTTTTGAAAATAATTCAGATCCTTTTTCTTTTATAAAATGAAAGTTAAAGAGAGTATTTATTGTCATTGAGATGAATCATAAATTAGTGTATTATGAAGATATTTGTCATTATTAATAGATTGATTTTTTCCAACTGAGACATGATCTATCATATGATTTTCAGACTCTATGCTCGATTTACTTTACTAGACATTTATATTAAAATAATCCTCCTCCTATGAAAATGGATTATTCTCGGAAGTATACTGTGGCGACTAAATTAGTAAGTAGTTAATATTTACTTGACGGAGTTCAATCATAATGGAAGAGAAAAAGTTCAACTCACTTTTATGAAAGACGTAAAAGAAAACTACATAATGATCGCGGTTAGCTCTTATTTTGAGTCGAGTCTGATGACGCTTTAAGCTATTGAGATGTATCAACCCGAAAACCTCAGCCAAGAAGTTCTGATGAACTTACAGACGTTAGTTTTAGAAAGATTTCTTTCAAACCATGACGCCATGCCAAAAACTGACGAATACTACAACTCAATCTCATGACTGGCAAATGACAAACCAGGTTAAATTTCCTGAAGTTACATTCACATCACACATCCTAGACACGAAAACTAGTTCCTAAAGTTGGTAACGCCAACTGAGTAATTATCAGTGTTCACGAATACACTTTCCCTAACCTCTACACTGATGACCACAAAATATCACCATTAATTTTAAAAACAATGGTAATCGAATACCGAAAGTCTCCAAATATTTTCAGCTAGGAGATACAAGGTTTTACAAGAATAGGACAAATATGTTCCAACCAACTCATAATAAACCCGATTTTTCGCAGTCAAACTAACATCATGACAACCTCAAAAGTGACCCAGATTGTGACAAGGCGCTCTGGTTTTCATTATGCATAGATTAATCCCGTCATTCATACCATTACCAGCACTCACATAACTACCCAGATACATGAACCGTTTGGCTAGTTCTAACGGATAGCCATAAAGAGTGATTGACAACCTTTCTTAACTTCACTGCCAGAATTGAACAATGAAGTGAAGTGGTTGTATGCTCTAAGCCTGCCCGAGATTTAAATATATGGAGTCTTGAACGTCTTAACAAATTTCTTTCATAAATCTTTCTTCAACAGACAATCCCAAATCATAATCCTGTTCAGTGAACCTAAGGTTGCTATGATATCAAAAGCATAACGATTGTTGGCACGGAATAAATGTGGAGTTTCTCTAACAATTGCAGCAGAGTGAAGATGTGATCAATAAATCAATGACCTGGTCGAAAACTAGCCTACTCCTTGCGAGTTAGCTCTTCATGAATTTTGGACGAAATTCATAAAAAAATACCACGCAGGAAAAAGAGTAAGAAATAGAATAAAATCGAAAATGTATAATCCCAATTTTTTTTTCAAAATATTGGACAGTGCTCATAAATCTCTCATCATATGAAGAAAGAATATTTTAAGGAATAGAATTTATTTAAATTCATAGTGTTACAGGATAATAGTTAGAGTGAATACCTTTTGGATCTCGTTGAACAGTGGCTTTTTTATTTCTTTACTGTAACATTTCTTACTTCTAGGATTTTGAAAATAAACTTGAATAAATTCAACTGAATAATCCAATACCTGACATATTTTTTTGCAAATGTAAATCATCAATTGGAATTGTTGGATTATTTGAATGTGAATATAACGAGTTATATTTTATTTAAAAGTCTGTAGTGGCTGTGCTTCGTTGACCAATCACCCTCGTAACCGTTATCATATAATCCTCAACGGTGTTTGAAATCAGAAGACAAAGAAAAGCAGCGACTACAGTTTTATTAGTAGATAACTCAGACCACAAAGCAGAGAGACAAATGAATGAGTTAGCGAACCGAGAGTATAGAATGTGTAGAGTGTAAATGTACATGTATATATATAGGGAAATGAATGGATCATCGAATCAATTAAGCAGTTAATAATAAAGCTAGTAGAAAGAATATATGCGTATACGGTAAGCAATGTTCAAGCATACATATTTCATACAAGCACAACAATAATAAAGGTACAATAAGTTGTTATAGTACGGATGACTTTGTCCGCTAAATAAGTTAACAAAAGGGCTTAACTGAGTTTAATGAGAACAAAATGAATTGCACATGAGTTGCTATAAATCAACAAAATGTATTTATCGTCCAAGAGTTAAATACAAACCTATAAAGCTTGATGTTCACTTTTTATGACACTACTCTATAGTAATAGCTTGAGACAGACATCGAACAACTTTCAGTATTCTACAATGATGATCTGACAAATGATAGTTTAGAACTTACTCGAATCCAAAACAATCGTTAAAAATTTAAGAATCTTACTTAAAGTAAAAGAAATTCAATACCTCAAGATAATATTAGATATTTAAGTTACTAATGAAAGTTGATATCAATTATACGTGATGCATTGTTTACCAAAATGTCAATCCTTTATAAATTATCCATCTAAAAACATCATTATCTATTAGTTCTTACAACATAATGTTAAAATGAATAAGATTCATTAAATTAGAATTATAGAACTATTAAATAAACCAATTGATCAAAGATATGAGGTGTAAATTATTTTTACTTGACACCAGTGTCAAAAAAATCTATAACACGTATAAGGATAAGGGACTCTTCATTTTGCTGTAATGAATTTTTAGCTAGATTATAAGTTTATATTGTTATTCTATTTTGAAATAATTCATTAACAGATTGTTTGTAAACATTATATTAGATTGAATCAACTTTAAAATATCATATAAATAGTCATCAATATAGGGTTGTAAAGATTATTATGTTTTTAATTAAAACTTAGATTAATCGTTCGGACATGAGACCGAACACTCTGGTTTCCAATCCTGTTCACAGGATCATAGATGCACACTGCTGACGAGTCCCACAATAGGGTGAAACGGCCATCCAATGCTTCTAGGTTAACAATCGTGGTCTAAAATCAATCAATTTCATTTATTTATTTTATTTATTTAAACAAATAAACATTGGTACGAGGTGGCACCAAACAGATATGCGCCACATAAATCAGTCGATTTATGTAAGGGCTGGGATACTGCCCGAGTGTGAAAACCAAAGCAGGTGATTTTCTTAGAGGCCACACCCGGAGCCTTTGACCTGAAGGTCTAATCCACAAGGCAGTGGAGCACCGTCAGAAGATGCAGTCCCACGGTAGCAAGTGACGAACGATAGGTTCACATGCCATTTGTTCCTTCAGGATACTGGAGCCCATGTACACCATTGCTTTGGAATCAGGGTTTTCCAACTTCCCTAGATTGATCCTCCATATCCACCAACCCGGCTAAAGAGCCGGATATTTGCTTTTCATCCTCTCAATTTCGTAAACAACGCCTCTGCCGCAAGAATGCAGTGAATAGGACTTCTCTAGCAGTGGTTGTATACCCGTGGCCATATGAGAGCATTTCAAGAGAGAGAGAGAGAGGGTTGACTCTCCCCACTCTCGGCCGTACCAAGGCATTTTGGAATCGATTCATGATCTCAATCAAAAATATAAACAATTATTAACATACAAAACTTCATAAGATATTCACAGTAATAATAATTATTATTATTATTAAATAAATGGTACCGTTTTACAATTAATGACAATAATTTTTTAAGAAAAATTGTTTTCTCTTTTTCTTTTTTTAAGAAACTATACAATACAACTATTTACATAAGGTTTATTTCATCTACAAATTTTTGTAAACATGTCATTATGTATTTATTTTATTGCCTATATAGAAAATGAGGTATTTATTTAAATATTTCAATTTGATTGGTCAATTGAAAATATGATTTAAACAAATCAATTATCATTAAATTTAAACGTTGACATTTGTCAACAACAACAACAACAGCAACAAGAAAAAACAAACAAACAAAAAATATCCTAATTTTTATAACTGTTACGTAATTCTTATAGATAGTTACTTATACATTTCATTATTATTTACTTGAAGATCACTTTGTTCAATGTTTCAATAGTTTAATGAAGCAGTCGTTTTATTTGTTTGTTTGTTTGCAACAATGAAAATTGAACGTTGTTTTTTTTTGAAAATGAAAATAAGAAAGATCTACAGTTTAAAACGGTGTGTTAAGATTTACAAAAGATAGAAATTAGAAATAATTCCGGTAAACGGAAGTTTTACGAGTCAGTATTATTATTATTATTATTATTATTATTATTATTATTGTTTTCATTGGTACTTCCATGACCATACGTCCAAAATCCATCAGTATCAGACTTACGACCTACAATAGGTGCCACTTTTGGACAATTCCAATAAGCATTGTATAAATCTTTGGCTTGTTTAAATCTATAATTCAATGAAATCTGTTTATTATCTGATATTTTTTGAACTTTATGATATAAATCTGTTATGTCGGATGATGTATTATCATTTTCATTAGTTGAATCTTCATAAGATATGCTTAAAATATGTTTTGACTGTGTATCATATTGCTTTAGTGTTACTTCTTCATAATCTCCTATTTGACGATTATCTTTTAGGTTGTTAATTCTATCCACTATTTGATTGTCATTATCCCTGTCATCTTCATCGTCACTCTCTTTGTCAACGTTATCATCAGTGTGATAAGAATTATCAAAATTTTCATGCGGTTTAATTGATATTTTATCTAGTTTAGGTATTTTATCTGTACAGTATTTTAAAGTATCACACGGATATGTATGAAATTGATTAGTTTTCATTGTATATTTATTTATTTCATCACTAGTGATATCATCATAGTTATTATTTCCAGATGGAATATTGCCTTCTTCTTCACCACCATCATCTTCATCATCTTCTTCATCCCCATCATCTTCATCAGTGTCTTCTTCGTCATTCTCATTGTCCTCCCCCTCTTCATCATCAACTTCTTCCACGTCGTTTTCGTCATCATCATCATCATCACCATCATTATCACTATCATTATGAATAACGTTTGTATAATCCATTTGGTTTGCATGAATAGAATCTAAATTATAACAATAACTATGATCATTGGATTGATTTCGTGTAATTTTTACATTTTTATTAATTACATCATATGATAATGGTTGATCTAATAATAAATCATTTAAATACTGATGAATCGGAATGTTTGTTTGCGATTTACATTTATATTCTAATTTAGAATTTTCTAAACATGGTGGAGAAGTAGAAGAATGATGATGGTGATAATAATTCTGAAGACGATGTTCATGATGTTGATGATGATGAGGTAATGATGTTGAAGAGGAATGATCAGATACCAAATGTGCTTTTTCATTTTTCTCTGAATATTTCTTATGATAATTTGTTAATGATTGTTGTTTATAGTTTTGTTTTTTAGATTTTGATAAATTAAAAGCATCAGATTGTGTTTTTTTCAATGATTTCAATTTAGAGGATAATGAATTAATTTTATTTTCAATATTCATTATTGTTATATCACGTAACGTTATATTACCATCATCAAAATATTGTTGATTTGATAAACGTAATTGAGGTGATTCATTTCTCATAGTTATTAAATCAATTGAATTCATATTATTCATTTTATGTATTGGTGTTATGTCTTGAATATTATTTTGACGTTTTAATTTATTCAATGAAGTAGGTTTGAGCTTTTTATTTGGAAATTGTTTATGTGAATAATTCTCTGATTTAGGATCATCAGAATTCAATAATCCTGGAATAGTAGTTATCATTACATTATTATTATTATTATTATTATTATTATTATTATTATTATTAACCAAACAAGTTGTATTATTCAATGATTGATTATATTGTTTCTGTGGAATGAATTCCTTATCATGACAAAGTGATGATGACGATGATGATGGTGATGATAATGATTTTGTAGATTTCAATGAATTTTGATGATTATCTTTTGTAATAGGTATATTATTAGTTGAAGTATTTATAATATTCGGTTGTTTTAATATTGAAGGACTAGATTTTGATAGAATTTGTAATGATTTTACACTATTATTATTATTATTATTTAATGGTGAATTAGAAGAAAATTTTATATTATTTAATTTATTTGGTGATTGCTCAATAGGTTTCGGTTTAAAATATCTATAAACCGGAGTTAAACGTATTGAATTAGATTGATTTAATGGATCATATTCTATAATATCACCAGAAGCAAAATCAAATGATGCATAACAAGGTACAACTAGACAAGAAAAAAGAAATAGAAAACAAACAGTAGTATAAGTTTATTTATTTGTTTGAAACTTATCTATCATTATAGAGGTATATAAATAGGAAATATAATGATGAGTTAGTTGTAATAGTAAAACTATAAGTGTGTTTGGTTTTTTTTGATTGAATTTCAAAAATGAATGATAACTATCACTTATTACATAAATTATGATAATTAAAAAATATTATTGTGCTCAGAATGTTAGATATTTTAGAGAAAAAAGTATTTTTAATCATCAAATAATAAAAATGATAATGATTAATGAACCAACGGCTCACTTAGGTAATATAATTGTGAAGGGGTTTTTTGGGGGATTGTAATAATTTCAATAGTTGAGATCATGAGTCAATTGAAGCTAGACCATCATGGAAAACTTGGAAGCACTGAACGGCAGTTTCGTCCTATTATGGAACTCCTCAACAGTGTGCATCCACGATCCCGCCTCGCAGGATTCGAACCCAGGACCTATATATATATACATGCCTAAGTAATCATAGTAAAATAGATAAGGATATTTCGCTATTACTCTTGCATATCGATGCAGTGACAACGATTGTTCGCACATTATTTCACTTCTGTTAAGTCATTAATAAGGGTTAAGTAGACAATGATAATTCTCCTAGAAAACTATTTCTGCCTATTAGGAAAATTAAAGAAGATACCATTAGTTTGGATAAGTTCCCATTTAAATTATTGAAATTAATTAACGATATTCTTTTAAAAATATTAAAATTGATGAAACAATTATAAGCCTTAAAGAAAAGTTAATACACTAACTAAACTGATCAAATTCCAATTGCTTTCATTACTATTATAACAAAATGTTATTAAACCAAAGAAACATTCTATTTATTAGATGCAAAATGATTTCAAAAGCAATAAATCATTTTAGTAATCCCTATAAGCTCAATTTTCAACCGAACTTTTACGTAATCAACATTGTTAACGAATATGTAATGTTTAATTACATCCTAAATGGTAAATTAAATGTATATTATAATATGGCTAGTCTCTATAGAGTACAACTGAATATCATAATTATTAAGTCTAATTGATATTCGACTAAATTTTGTTCAGTATTAGTGATTTTGAGATGGTGAAGATTTTTAGCTCAGGTGGATGATTTTGATGGAGTGTTTTTCTCTGAGCTGGACTTCAGAATAACGACGAAAGATACACAACCAAACAAGGCAGCTCAGAGAACAAAACTCCATCAAAGTATTAATGATTAGAGAAATTTAATTATATATTAGATCATTCAAACCATGCATTTTGGCCGATTTACACTCATTATTACTATTGTTATTAGATATGTGATTATTAATACTCAATCTATTCATCAAGCCGAAAATCCAACATGATAGAAGTATTTTTTTCACTAGAAAGTAGATAGGAATTAAGATTTATTACAAAAAAAAAATTATATAGCTCACTTTATAGAATTAGAAATAAATCCCTATATCAAATGTTTCCTATATAAGTTCTTAAATAACTTTTCATTAATTTAGGTGGCTTTTTATAGATAATAACAGGTTTTTTTGTTTTTGAACAAGATTACTATATGTTGACATTCTCAAAGAACTTGAAGCATTTTGAAAAAAACGCTTATTTGCAACGACAGTTTCAAATTGACATGTTCTTCTTCATATAGACGATTTAAAAAGTACCGAATATTGATTTCAACAGACTTATTTTAAGCTGAATTCAGTCAATACTTTTGAGAAAAAATGAGTGATTCTCAATAACACGATAAAAGAGTAGAAAAGTGGTTCATATGATCAACACTCTGGTGGAATTACTTTGTGCGGAAAATATCAACGTTCTAAACATCCTACCAAAGCAAACTATGTAGATTCATGAACATATTACAAACATATGGTCATGAAATGAAACACTGGTAAGTACTTTATTATTAATTACAAGTTGGAAACATTTACGACGTATCCCTATTTTTAATCTAATGATTAGTAATTAACATAAGATTTACTAAGAAATTAACACCGATACTTCTGATTTTTGAGCTATCACATGAAATCATATTCCTAACCACAGTGTCTAATCTTGCCAATCATATAGTCAGCTGAATAGTCATAAGCACCGTAGAAACTGGAGCACATATATATATGCTCTTAGTTGTCACAGCATAATACAAAGTGTTGAGAGATGAAAATACGAAGACACATGTCAGTGTAGTTATTATTATTATTATTATTATTATTAGCTTTATTCAATATTATAATTTTGGTACAATATAGAATTCTCAGCGCAAAGTATTTCAACAAGTTTCCGTTTCTTTCTTCTTGGTCGGTCCTGGCGATAAATATTGAGGAATCGCCAGTTAGATGTTAGCACTTCAGTGAATGAACAACTGAATAATGTACATTCTTTTCGTTGTACATTGCCAGCAACCATATGGTCTCTTATTGAGTTTTCTGTAACTTTGACAACGAAAGGTTGTACACTTTTCAGAAACGCAGCAGAATAGGTTATGCGATTAATAAACATAATGATATATTAAAACAAACAACAATAGATAACTTGTTGAAATATCTAGATGGCGGGAACAGGTAGCCCAGATGCTCAAGCAGGCCGCCCTAGGGGAAACAGTAGTAGTAACCTTAAAATATTAGTAGAAAATTAAAGGCACTGAAAATATGATTTGAGTAGGATGAGTGAATTTACAGAATAAAAAGTATAAATATTTCATGACAAAGAATGGATACAGTACAACTTCTGCAATCATTTGGTGAGATGACATTGAGGATCATAACCAGGTAATTTATATCTGCATGCGTATTTCAGTCCAACAGTAAATGACTTTACGAACTGAAACAAAGTCTCGGTCTGACTATCTATAGCCTTGTTTCAACCTGTTTCTATGTCAATATCTTGAGTCAAAGATGATGACTGTTAGGTAAACCCAGTCAATGGAAATTCACTACGTTGTAAATAGATTCACTACACTTACTAAATGCTAACTATTTCCAAAGTAATAAAAATGTCTCAGAAGTATGAAAGATTTTGTGAATTAAATAAGAGAATTAAAATCAGAACTATACAATACACTCTAAGATAAATAAATGGAAATTTGAAAAAAACATAATCAAGGTAACATTTACTTAAATCTATCAGTCATAAATTATTAGTTATTTTTTCTCAAAGAATAAACAAATAAAGAAAAGACTGACAATAACCAACAACAAATTCAATACTGATTTTGATATTCTTTTTAGATTCTACATTTTAACATGAATTGTAAATGAGAGACATAGTAAGAAAGAGAGAGAGAGAGAGAGAGAAACAGAGAAAAATGGAGGAGGCGGTGAGGGACACACAGAAACGAAATGAAAGTAACTAAAATAGTCAAACATGTATCTAATGTGAATAAAGTTTACTAAAACTGTTCTCATCATTACACATACACACATATATAACAGTATTCATATAACGAATATTATTATTCAGTTGTAGTAAATGGAAACAACCTAGCGAAATTTTTAAAGTGAACAGATCATGACAATAAAAGAGAAGTAGTATAGAGCAGTAATTCGAACAAAGATTATTTTCTCAATGATATGTATACATTTGACTGACATGATGTAAATAAAAATAATAAGACTAAACTAATCAATGAAATACAGATTGGTGAGCAATCTGATCATTTAATTTTTATTTAAAGAACTTCATAAAGGATTCAAAAAGATGAAATATTTGAAGGAACAATTGTTTGATAATAACTTCTTCATCATTCCCTACAGTCATAAATCAATAATGATTGTATTACTATTGTCAAAATAATTTACACGAAGTATATGACAATCATATAATGTTTGTATTTGAAATTAGTGTTTCGGTTAAGGATGAAATAAGTTTTTTTTCAAAAAAAATGTGTTATTTGTAAATTGAAAAGGATATTTAAGAAAAAAAATTACGAACGTTTGTTAAAAAGTGTTGAGTTATGACCAATATTTTAAGATAAATTACATGAATGAATTCACATTTTCCTCATCTGAATTTCCAGAAGTTGAACTTCTACCAGGTGATTCACTTGTTGACTTAGAATATGTCAATGACATAGTTCTATTTGAAGACTCTGACAAAGTGCAGTCTTCTAACCACTGTAAGCAACAATGCAAGCGTCTTCGGGATTCCATTCTCTCCCTCGAAATGCAAAATGTTACTTCAGGAGTGAATTAATGAACTAATGATAGGGAGTGAAGTAGTTGAGCGTGTTGACCGTTTCACTTATCTTGGAAGTCTCATCAGCCCATGTGGTCTGGTGTTTGACGAAATCTCAGCACGGATACAGAAAGCTCAACCAGCTTTTGCCAATTTGAGCCATTTGTGGTGTAGGCGAGATATCCGTCTATCAACTAAAGGACGTGTTTACTGCGCAGCAGTTCGTTCCGTCCTACTTTATGGCAGTGAAACGTGGCCGGTATGAGTAGAGGATATTCGTAGGTTACTAGTACTCGATCATAGGGATCTTCGAAACATTGCTCGTATATCCTGGAACCACTGAGTGAATAAAGCAGTTGTTAGGAAAAGGGTACTAGGTAAGGATGGCAAATCAATTGATGAAGTGATGAAACTTCATCAGTTGAGATGGCTGGGACACGTGTTACGTATACCCAACCACCGATTGCCCCGACTAGCGATGTTTTATGATATAGTAGTAGGTTAGAAGAAAGCTAGAGGCGGCTAGATCGAAACATGGCACAGATCCATGAAGTCACTGGCAAGTGGACTGAGCCATGTTGGAAGGTGTAGACTACCTGGTTGGGATCCGCGAGATGATAGCAACCGGTGGTTAGAGACCCTGAATGACATGGCTCAAAATAGTTTGCAGTGGTGCAGGTGCATCCACTCTTTGTGTTCTCCCAACTTCTAATCTTCTGAATTCTTCATATCAGTTTTTTTATCTTTCCAAATTTATTTCACTGTATTATACTCCTTGAATAACACCTTCAAACACTAATCTTTCCAATTACTGCTTATGCTCCTACTACCTCTATCACTATGGGTAAGGTAACTTGAACTGATGTGCGTACGTACAAAGTTCTACGTTGTTATTGACTGACTGACCTAGTTCATTAAGATGATAATAAACATGGTAATAGTGTTATGAAGATATGTTTTGTAACAAGAGGTATATTTATAGGAACCTGAGTGTTAACAATAAATAAGAAGGTTTTAATGGCTCACTACTGTCTGAAATTTATATGGATATCGTTGTTCAGAAAGAAAAGGAAAGACTTAAGATTGAACCAGGCAACTTGAAGCAAGAATCTCCATTGAACGATGTGTTTTCATAGAAATTATTATGACATGTGAATTCATGTGAATTAAGAAAGGCGAGTGGGTAAATCAAGATTGAGGTAAGGAAGAGATCAACATAGAAGAGGATCGAGGATAACGATTTGTAACATGTTATTTAGGTATGACATTGTCTGATTATAAGCTATGTAAATAGAGGATTCGAATATATATCCGCTCTCTAAGAATAACCATGATGGCTTCAGCTATGTAGATGAGCTATAATCTTGGCCCACAGGTAGACTGTTTAGGATCTGATACAAAATCGAGAAAACTTCGTTCGTTTTATTGTAGTCTTCACTAAGTACTAGTTGAGAAAGGATAGTGTTACTAAATTTTATCAATTTCACAGGTTGAAATCATGAGTCAGTTGAAGCTAGACCACCATTGAAAACCTGGAACCACTGGACGGCCGTTTCGTCCTGGTATGGGACTCCTCAGCAGTGCACACCCACGATCCCGCACTACGCGAGGCTTGAACCCAGGACCTACTGGCTTCGCGCGCGAGCACTTAACCACTAGACCACTGAACCGGCATCCAACCTGTGAAATTTCTAAAACTCTCCACAAAACCCATTCTGACTAAATTTTATGTTTACTTTCCATCCATTTTGGTAAAAGCTCGAGAGCACTCAAGGATAAGACGCTTTGAATACAGCCTATGCTAATAGCTCCATAGAAACGTCCGAATCAGTATACACACAGAAGAACCCATCATCAGGAATGGATCTTTGATTAGTAGTGTGAGTAATGGTTTAGTTGCGAAGATAACATACAATTTAACAGCGTTAAAAGTTATTTCATAAGGTTTTCTTATGTAACGTGTTAAGATATCCCCCGCTATATCCTCTTTAGAGTCAGATATTAGATAATGAGTTTTATTATCCCTTCGTTTCGTTTTTTGTCTTCTATTTCCGTTCTTGTATTTATTTACTTGTCTATATTTATTCTGCCCATCGTAATAAAATATTTATGGATTCATCACTGTATTATGATGAGTTTACTGAAAACAATTGTTTGCTCAAATATTCCATTTATGTACATAGATTCACCAATAATGGACATTTCATCTTAGTGTGTGACTTTTAGGTAGTGGGTATCCATGACTACACCAGGGTTCAAATCTGAAACCTTCGGCAAATTTCATAAACTCCTGTAACATTGAAAAATACGTTTTCATTAATGATGAATTTTAAGAAGTGATTTTTGGAGTCGGAATGAAAGTTTATAATTGGGGAAGTACAATAACATCGGATATAAAACAACTGACCACCTCAAGTGATGAACGATCGTTGCTCAGTGTCATAAAATGATTGAAATTAGGCATGTAAAACCAGTAAATGCTGACTAACTGGTCTGAAGACTAATATATCTTTGCGAAACGCAAAGATCTTGAGTTCGAGCCCTGGTTAGGTCATTTATTCACATCACCGGTGAGTCCCATACTAGAATAAAGCAACCGTTCACTACTTCCTTGTTCTCAATGATTATCTCACTAGTATCGGTTCGTGTGTGACATAAACTATGAAAATTTAGTTTTCTCCACAAAATCCTGTGTCAATACCTCTAGATATATTTATTTCATTAGAAAGATAATTGTTATTTTTGGGTAGAAAACATATGCATTTACATACACACAACTTCATACATACCTTCATGTATACATGCGCTAAATACATCTTAAAAACAAATTCAAGTCATAACAGTAATAGGCAGAATTAACTTGGAAAAAGGCAAAATGTGACAGGCAATATAGAAAGATAAACAAAGTAACATACCATAAATATATTACACAAAGACAGGTATATGGGAAAATTTGTTACAACATCATCATCTACTACTATTTTCCCACTTCATTCCCCTATTTTAACTTTTTTTTTTCTCCATAACCAACAAAAACGTACCAATTTCAAAGTACGGTTATTATTTCTTTTGACCGTTACCATCAGTCTTATTATTAGAGGAAAAATTTCATTACTCTTAACATAATTGTTACATTATGTGCATCTATACGCGTGTACATATATATATATCTTTGAAAAAATATATGATTTGTACACATAGCTGTGTTGTTTTTTGTTGAATAATGTTAAAGAAAAAAAGATAAGTACAAAATTATATGTCTAATAATTGAAAGAAAAACAAACTTTTCAATGACTGATTTTTGTTGTGTACCTGAGAAATTGATAAGAACAACTGTTTTCTAACTGTCACATCATCATGTAATTCTTTTTTACTTTTACATAGTAGGCTTCTTCCTTTCGTTGCCTGTATACCACACACTCACACGCACACACACATACTTTCTCGCACTCATCAGGGCCATCAAGTAAACAGCCAGAAGAAAAGCACAAATGGGAGGAAACAGTAAAATAGACATTATTTGGTTTGTCATTAGTTAACTCCCTTTTTTTAAAACATATTATTCGTTGGTAGATATTTTTCTCTGATGTCTTCAATAAAATAAACAGATTATTATGTTATAATGATCAATCTCTAATTGGTTTCTATATATATAATATTCGGTATGTAATGTAAGAAAGCATCAAACATTCGTCTTATCTATTTGTTTTCCATAGAAATATTTGTCATGTTGTTTATAGTAGGTAAATCATGTCTGTTTGATTAGATTGATAATTAGATAACTCATCTGCTGACAACTAATTGATTACTTGATAACGATTATTGTCATATTTACTTAATTTTTATTGCTGGTGAAAATTTCTCGTTGTAGTTGAAATACGGACACTAATTCTGCTAACTTGACAGCGCGTGTTGTACTGTTACGTAGTTGAAGATAGTCAACAGTAAATTCTGGACGAGCTTCAGTCGCACAAGGTGTATCGGTTCGTTCAAGATTGCAAGTACAGCTGAATAATACTAAACCTAGATCCGGAATTTCTGGTTGATCACTCTTAACCATCTGACACCTCAGCTTACTGTATACTGTGCCGAATCTCTCAGACTAGTGATCACACTGCAACATGATTGATAGAACTCGATCAGTGCAAAAGAACTAAAAACATAACATTGTTTAAAACTCAGTGATCGATTACTTGATATACTCTCTTTAATATATCATTTATTCAATTCAGACAATAATATGATAAGAATTAGATTAGAAAACTACAGGCTTCTTTACGGAAATGCTTGCTCAAAAATAATACCAGACGTTTTAACCCGTGTTTCATATCACAAATATAAACTACCGCAGCACCATGTTAACTGGCAAATCGGATTGAAAATTTCTCAACCTACTTTCCGCATATTTTTTCCTTTTTTTAAAATAAACAATATGCTTGATATGAAAGGGACTTGAAAGAACACTTAGTCGAGTATAATCATCAACTCATTGGGCTATACTTTGATAAATGTTAGTTTTAGATATTTTTCTTTCAATAAACTTTCGGGTAATACATAAGTCACTGGTGCTGAAGAGCACAGAATAACATCATTCACACTTATTTGTCGAGAAGTCATAAGATGCTCTCAAGATGATTTATTTAAGAAAATTTATCATTATTTTTTGCTTTACCTATAATTAGAATGTGTTGTATACACGACGAACCATTGATCAAAATTGATTAAGTTTCAACTATAAAGTTACAATAAGGCTGAAATCGGTTCTAACTTGTTCTATTTAATTAGGGATAATATTATTCAACCCTTACATTAAAAATGTATGACTTAAATTACTCAAAAGATATTGTTGTGTTTGATGAAGACTGACAAAATGCAATCTTCCGACCACTTTAAGTAAAAAGTCTAACCGTATACGGAATGTGTTTCTCCCCTACTTATTACTGAATATCGATTCATGACTTGGCTATGTCAACCCCAGAATCAATAGTAGAAAATGAGATACTTGAATCTCTCGAACATTTTATTTATCTTGAACTTCTCATCTTCTATTAAGCAATAATGTTTGGTGAAATCCCAGGAGGTATTCATAAAGCTCCCCTGGTTTTTAACACCGTAGGTCACCTTCTTTGAAGGCTTTATATCCGTCTCTTAACCAAAGAGTGAGTATACTGCTTAGCAGTTCATTTTTCTGTACTTTATCAAAAGACTGATATATTTCATTCATGATCAGAAGCTTTAAAAAGACATATTGGTGAACAAGAAACTAATCAATAAGGCTTACCTTCATCATTTCCAATGAACGATGTTTCTCTAGTTGGGTCAGAACCGATTGTAATTGGGATTTGCATACAGTGATCATGCTTACCTTCTCTATCACCTTGCATACGAAGTCGTAACTAAAAAAGTAAATAATGGTTTAAAAGTTCATATAACTAGTTGATCTTAGTTAAACAGTCATTAGGAACCAAGGAGTAATGAATAGATGATTCCTCCTAGTGTATAAACTATCACCTGTGTTCAAACACGACTGAAACCAGGAGATTCAGGTACCGAGGCGAGATCTTAACCTCTAAACCACTCATCAGGTACTCAAGTGTTTACATTTCTAACTCCAGTTAGTTAACGATATTCACACTGATTCATTTTAACCTGTTTATTATTTATTTAAGAACATTTTAATAATTATTTATGGTCACATTATTGTTTGAAATCCATTCAACGAATATAAGTTGCAGGTTTTTCAATACATCAACAAAAGCTTACCAAAGTTTTCGATTAAATAATAGTTAGAATACAGCTTGTTTTTTAGCCATACCATGCCAATTTAAGATAAAAATATTTTAATAAGATAGTCATTTAGTTGGTAACAAATGATTTATTTTGGTTTTAATACAAAATTTGCAAAGACGATTGATTGCAGATTGGATCTGTCAAAGATTGATCTCAGATGCAGTACCACTAAAAACCAAGAAACAGTAGACAGCTGTTTGGTCCTAGTATGTAAATACCAAGGACTGTGTACTCAAGATGACACCAGTAATCGAGCACAGCATCTTCAAGTCTAGTATCAATAGCTTAATTATGAAGACCATTAGGCTAGCATATAATGTTACAGTTCCAAAGTCAATTAGTCTATAATATCGTTCGATGATTATTCGATTCAATTAATGATAACTGTTTAAATCCCAATATGTTTGACCATATATTAAATACGACTTTTCACTATTATTTCCAGTTGAATTCACCAGTCGATTTAAGCTAGACCACTATGGTAAACCTGGAAACATTGGATGGTCGTTTCATCCACGATCCCGCACAAGGAATTCGAACTCAGGGCTTTCGGTTTAATCTTCAGACTGTTATTTTTAAAAATATTTATCTACATATCATAAAATATAAATAAGAACTATCAAATTATTGTCCAGTTCAAAATACTGAGATTAAATAATAACTCTATGCCAATTTATGAAAATAATACAAATGTAATGCACTAATATATGACTTATTAATAATGACTTTTAAGATTAGATAAATAATATGAAAGATATTGAACAAAACTTTCAATTCATTCATACTATATTTACTATATGATAATATTTTAATCTTTTTGTATTTAATAAAAAAATATCCATAAAACTTACAATTAACGAATATTCTAAATAAATTAAATTTTGTCTACCAAATAATCCACTAGTTGGGAGAGGTGGTACATGTATTAAATCTGTGAAATATGCTTGACCACCTTGATCTGGTACAGCGATAATATTTGTTGATAAAGAATTCTGATGTAATTTTTGTCGGTGTTTATGTTTTGTTTGGGATTTAATCTGTTTATCATTTTTACTATTTACATTGTTATATCGATGTGTTTTTTGTTGTTGTTCACTACGTTCAAAACGATTTGTTGAACTTCTTGATGAAAATGAATTTGATGAAGAAAATACACCAGAAATTTTATTCATATCTAATTGTTCAAATAAATTATATCCGGACAATGTTGATTGAGCATTTAATCTTGTCGCAAAAATACGTAAAACTTCAATATGATTTTGTTTATTGATACCTTTTAAAAAGACTGTCTTGAATTAGATTTTATTAGATAAAGAAGAAAAAAAAGGAAATCATAAATTTAAAAATAGTTTTTCAAATATTTATATAATTAAATTTCATTCAGTAATGAATAAATAATGATTGAATTTTACAGGTTACATAACGAGCTGACTTTAACTAGAAAATAAATGAAAACCAAGAAATAGTAGAAGGCTGTTTCTTTCTAGTATCTGACTTTTCAATAGTACCTATCCACTACCTTATCACTAGACCGTCAGTCAATGATTTACATGTTAACACTGAGTCGGTCATACATACACACTACGTAGAAGCCCCCATACTAAGACCAGACAGCTGTTCAGTACTTCTTGATTTCTATTATTTGTCTAACGATAATTATTCCTTGATTTAAACTGATTTCCTAAGGATAGTTGTTTGAAGTTTTTTAGTTCCATTCATTCTATTTACTTAGTGAACGAGAAATCATAATAAAAAATATGTGGATTCGTCACCTATAACTTCGAAATATTAATAACTTATTGTAATTTTATTAACCAAAAGTAAGATATTCAACCAATATTCACCCTCAACTTAATAATTCAGTACCAATGTAAGATCAGTAGAATAGTAATTAAGAAGAGATTTATTGGCAAGACAATTGATCACAATGGATAAGTTAGCTGTATAAGTGTTTTCTGAACTCAACTATCATTTATGAGTTTTAAAGTGAATTCTTTAACAAAAATTACATATTGTTTTATATGACAAAATTTATCATTAGCTTAAGCCAATATGATTTTCTAGAAAAATAATTATACTAAATTTCCAATCCATTAAATCAATATTATCTTGTCAACCGAAAATTTGTGATAACACTTGTAGACACATTATAAAAACTTCTATCTGTCAAATAACTAAATATATGTGAAATATCTAGTTGTCTTTCATTTAAAATGAATACTGAAGATACATGTATATATTGGAAAGAGAAATAATCCTTAGTTTACATTCAACGAATGTAATAAATTGTTTTAAACACTAACAATTTTTAATGTTGTCTTATTTAGAAATTAATTACATTGAATATTATATAATCAAATTAAGACTTCTATTTACTTTTTCCCCAATAATTCAATTTATAGAATTAAATTAATTTAACTACATTGTAAAGAAACGTTAACAAATTAAGAAACGTATTATTAATAATAGTAACAAAGAAATTTATTGTCAGTAAAGGGTTGTGGAGATTATTAAGTTATTGATTGTAATCACGAATTGATTTTTGTTAGACAACCATTGAAAACGTGGAAGCACTAGACCGCCGTTTTGTCCTATTGCGGGACTCCTCAGTAGTGCGCATCCACGATTTCGCCTCGCGTGTTTCCAACCCAAGACCTATCAGTCTCGTGCGCCAGCGCTTAACCATTAAACAACTGAGCTGGCATCTAATAGTGTTAGTGTCTAACTTGAACCAATCCATGAAATCGAGCGACACATCCATCATTATAATCAGTGAGTTGCTATCTTACAACAGACCTGGTTGAACTCCGCTGGTCACTGCTTCTCACTAGAACTCCAGGAAATACTTTTGGGAGACCGTCACTAGTGAGCATATGTTAATTAATATCAGAAGGGGTTTTGTGGAGATTTTAGTCATTTTTATAGTTGAGATCATGAGTAAATTGAGGCTAAACCACCATGGAAAACCTGGAAGCAGTGGAGGGCAGTAGGACGAGACGGCTCATGATCTCAACTATTAAAATTACTATGATATCCCAAAAACCTTTTCTGATATTAGTATTTATGTGTTAGGAGGATGGTGATGATCACAAGGAGACCTAAATCTCAGTATCATTCTAGTTGATATTCGGTAACGGTGATTATGTGTTCAATAATATGTTTAATTTATATAAGAATTTTCCAATATGAGAAATACAATGAAATGAATGTTTTGTCATAAATGATCGATTCATTAGATATTATTGTTCAACCAAAACAACCCAGAAAACACTTAGTATAATGAGTTACAATGTAAACCAAATAGAATAAAGTATCATTTCTTCAAATTATATGTGATCAAACTAACCTGTGCAAATGTTAAATGTACAGTTTGTATAGCACGACTAGATCGATTAGTGATATGAACTTGAGGAATAATTGTTTCCCCGGGAACAAATCCAGTTTTATTCACGGCTAAATCGCATAGAATTAATCCACTTGGATGTGAACAACAGCCTAATGATACAAATTCTCGATGTAATGTTATTCGATCCTAAAAAAGATAAGTATGATCTTAAAAATCAACCAAATATTTTATGGTAAATATTATATAGAACTACATATGATTTGACTGTCTTTTGGTAGCTAAAATGATATACATTGACAATAACCTCCCAATAGTCTACTGGTATGTTGACTGATTAAAGGTAGTTAGCAGAAAACTCTGAATCTGAATTTTGTGCCAGTCAGCACATACCATCAATCGATGCCTACAGTCTTAAGGGAAAAGATTCTTCTCATAGGACTGGGAATGCTATCATTCAACTTCACAGTCTGGAATGTTAGCTCAGAGCTCTTTGGTCCACAAGCGACCATCTGCAGGACTACGTAGATGATTAATACTGGCTAGGATCCCACAAAAAGCAACGATTTTCACGGGAATATAGTTACGCTTTTTTAGCGAATGGTTAATAACATGTAGTCCAGGCCCAGTAGGGTTTCTCAATAACTACCTTCCACCATCTAAAATCACGGTATAATACATAGTACGTGAAGTTATCTAGACTAGCGACCACATATTAACTTGATCTATAGAGTTCTATCGATACCTAAGGACAAAACCTTCTTCCTTACTCAGTGACAAATCCTTTTGTAATAATGACATAAACCTTTATCCCAACCTTCTATGGATGAAAAAATCTAAATATTTCATTTTACAACTAATTAACCATTTGTATTTTGCTGAGTTACATAATTTACTTGTTAAATAAAACTGGTGGAGTTAAAGAGTGGCCATTGATTACTTAATAAAACTTAAGTTTCATGACACGTGACTTTTTTGAAATAAAAATCAGCCAGTAGTCCAATAAATTCAGAAAGCTTAATGAGGATGGAATCTGTTGTGAGATTGGCAAAGTATAACACGTCATGCGTAAGGAAAAAGCTTCTAAATAAGTTAGGCTAATTTTTACAATAATGACGTTATAAATAATAAACAATTTTCCCTTGAAAAAAGTGATCAAGCTAGTTTAGATAATTCAATACAATTTATAGTCGTAAACAATTTAAACTTCCTGATCATGAAAACAGAGGCTTGTACAATTCTTAAGATTTGGCTACCTTCAATTTACTTTTAATTCTGATAGAAATACATAATTTCAGATATTTATCAATGTCAACTAAGTTTTAGCAACTAACCAAGATTATTCCTTACAATTATCGAAATGTTTCTAAAGGAAAATAAAATGTATTTACTCAAAATATAGTACTTATATGTTGTGACCAATTATTAAGTGTTTATTTCTTTGAATACAGAATATATCGAATTCGAATCAGATATATAAGAAAATTGAATAAGAACTTTCATTTACTTTTCTACAAAAGGTTTACTTTATATATATATATATATATAACATACTGCCAATTTCGATAGACTAATTTCTAAATTATACCTTGTAATATACTTCCTAATTTAGTCTTATACTATCGGTTACTAAATATTTTATATCCTATTTGTTGGCACTGGTTAATTTGTTTTTATTTTAACTGCTTTATAAACAAACAATATTATACGAAACTCTATTAAACATATAGTTAAATTAATTAATAAAAGAAATGCAATTGATACACTTGAATAGGGATTATATTGTGAAGATAATATTTATTTATGGGAAAAAGTGTACATTTAATTTAAAAATGTTAATCTAAATTCAAATGAATTTCTAGATATGCAGAATTTGAGAATAAAGATACTAAGTAAAGTTGACAAATCAGTTGCTGAGACTGTGTCTGAGATTATTGTTGGGGACGATAGATCCCCAAGAGATCCTTGATCCTTCGCTGTGTTCCGAATAAGCCGAAACAGTAGTAGCATTCAAGCTTACCGAACCTAACAATTATTATTATTATTAGTGGCTTCATTCAATATCATATTTTTCGTACAATATAGAATTCTCAGCGCAATTTATTTCAACACGTTTCCTTTTAATATCAGAAGGGGTTTTTGTGGATATTATAGTAATAGTGGACGTGTCGCTCAATTTTGTGAATTAGCTGAAGTTAGACATTAACACCGTTGGATGCCGGTCAGCTCAGCGGTCTAATTGTTAAGCGCTCGCGCACGAGACAAATAGGTCCTCGGTTGGAATCTTGCTAGGCGGGTTCGTGGGTACGCTTCGCTGAGGAATCGCTCAAGAGAACAAAACGGCCGTCCAGTGCTTTCAGATTTTTCGTGGTGGTCTAGCTTCAATTGACTTTTCCTTTTCTTATTTCATGATAGATCCTTGCGATAAATATTGAGTAGTCGCCAGTTAGATGTTAGCAGTCCAGGAATCGACATCTAGCTAAAGTATACTCTTTTCGATGCATATTGCAAGCAAGCAGGATTTCTCTGACTGGTTTCTTTTGTAACTTGTACATAGAAATGTCGTAAACTTTTCACAAACGCACCTGAATAGGTTATGAGACTAATAGGCACAATGATGTGTTATTATAAACAAGCAAAAAAGTAACTTGTTGAACAGGTAACCCAGGTATTCAAGCAGGCTAGGATATGTAATATATACATCGTTCAACCTTATTCTCTGCCTAGATGCTTAATATTAACTAGCAAGGGATTATCAAATTAAGATATGTCATAGGTCTATACAGTTAGTGCATATCAGTCTGAGCTATTTCGAAAAATTCAGATTATCTGATAAATAATTTTGATCAATCATTAACGTACTTCAGATCTTCAGTTTTGAAATTATTTTTATTATTTTCTTAATCAGTAATTGAATTACTTCTTTTTTTTAAAAATCATCAAAGACACTATTAATACATTTGTTTTTATAGTATAAACATTTTTAGTAAATTACTTTTATTCTGCTAACATTTTGTAATCTTCTGTTGCAATTCTGTGAAGTATTACATCAATTATAACCATAGAGAAGACTTATATTTACCTTTATAATAGCCAAATGACAAACACTAATTGATTTTTTAACAAAATATTGTTGTGATGTAAAATAATTTTGCCTTAACAACAATAACAAAACAAAAAACAAACATCATTACTGAATTGATAAATAAAATGTTACTTTTTTTCAATCAGTAATGATTGACATAATGAAAGTAGACTTTCTCTTCTATTATATATATATATATATATATATATATATATATATATATATATATATATATATATATATATATATATATATATATATATATATATATATATATATATATATATATATATATATATATATAAGCCTATTAGTAGATTCTGCATATAAATATATTATTTTCTTTTTGTAAACAATGAACTGAAGAAAATTGGACACATGAGAAATATATTATCAATGTAACCAAGTGATTAAGTTTAGTTGTTTTATGTTTTGTTTAAATAATTATATTATCGGTAATTTAATAATTGAAATTAATTATGTTGATAAATAATAAATGGCATTATGTTAACAAATATCTATTGTGTCAAATAAAGCATAGAAATAAATAATCAGTTTACCCTTACTAGGTACTAGCCATAAATCATAAAATATTGAAAACATTTTTTTTTCAAGAAAAAAAGAGAAATTCAATTGTTGTTTTCTTTTTTATTTACAGAAACACGAGTTATTCTTTGGCCCGTAATTGTGTTAAATGAAGATATCAGTGTACATTTAACATGAATACATTTGAAACAAATATATGGATATATATATAGTTCTGTAGAATTTAAGATAATTTAATTATGATGAATTAGTGGTGTCAGAATAAAATTATTAGCCCATTGTACACTGAAATATTATATATTGTAATTATTATATTTTGTAGAGTTGAATTTCCTATAGAAATTTAAACAATTCATAAACTATAATATTTACAGAATACAATAAATACGTTACATTTTGTTTATTTCTCTTCAATTACATATAAGATAATAAATGTAAATTGTAAAAAATATATATTCCACAGATTGAAATCGTGAGTCAATGGAAGCTAGCCCACCATGGAAAACCTGGAAGCATTGAACTACCGTTTCGTCCTAGTATTGGACTCCTCAGCAGTGAGTATCCACGATGCCGCCTCCCGAGACATTCGAACCCAGGACCTATCGGTCTCGCGCTAGGGACTTAACCAACTAGACCACTGACTCTGCACCCAATGGTGTTAATGACTAACTTCAATCAATCCACGAAGTTGAGCCACTGTACACCATTTTCTTCAGTGAGTTGATATCTCACAATAGATCTGGTTGAATTCCACCGGTAATGGCTTTTCACTAGAACCTCAGGAGTATCCCCTGCAGTCAGTCACTAGTGAGCAGATGATTATTATCAGAAAGGGTTTGTGGAGATTTTAGAAATTTCACAGGACAAAACGGCCGTCTAGTGCTTCCAGGTTTTCCATGGTGATCTAGCTTCAATTGACTCATAATTTCAATGAAATGAAATTATAAGATAAATAATGATCAGAATAAATATGGTCAACATGGGGTGAGAGAGAAAATAATAGAATAAAAATCGGAAATCACGTAATATGTAGAATAATATGAATTAGATCAGACGTAGTAGATAGGGGTGGACACTGAATAAATTTCTCAAAACGTTGCTAAGTGTTATAATAATAACAATGATAAACATAATAATAATAGTAATAATGACAATAGTAAAATATGTGGATAAGTTTAGAACCTAAAAACAAACATGGATCAGAGTACGTCACCGTATTATGAAATTCATTATTAACTAGTTGGCCACGAAGTTGGCCAGGGTAAAAGGAGTGGCTGAACATATTCCTTTTGGATTCAAAGGTCTGGCTTTTTAATCCAAAATATTAAAACCTACTGAATCATGATCACAATTCAATTAAAAATATAAAGCAGAAAGTCAACAACTGATTCTTTTTTTTCATATCTAATGTTTGAGTTAAGATTCTCTAAAAATCTACCTAAGGATACATTCTATGCTATCTGGCGCTCGTTAGTAAGACGTAATTGTGACCTGAAGAAAACAGAACTACGTAAGTCTTGCTGAAGAGTCCTAAAAATAGCGAGAAACATAAATTGAGAATGGTTTCACCCTGAAAACCCTCAAATATTTAACAGGGTGTGTGATATCAAGTCACTTAGACTCGTGAGTACACTATGACTTGATTGGTAGAACCTGACCATTTGCATAAGACTAGACAAATTCATATTTTTCTGGTCACTACTGAGAAACCAACCAAATGTTATTGTTTTAATTAATATGGTAGAGTCCCAATAAAACAGAATAAAATGACTTAATAATTATTTTGAATCCTCTTGGTTTATTAACCTCATACCCCACATTTATCAAGAGACTCCGTCGGCTTTATTTATAATCTGATACTTCACATTAAACTTGGACATTGCAGCAAATTCTATGTAAGTCTTAATCACTTAGGTTCTGATTCAATAACTCTTAGTGCTACTTTCGTCTGTTTATGTATAGCATTTTGACATTTCCAATCGTAAATTATTACCGTATATTTATAAAGTATGAATTATGATCCCAGATGAAAGATAACGCTTTTTCAAAAACTGTCCTCGACCGTCGCTACTCTGGGAAATATCATGTGTAAAGTTTCTTCTCAAATTAATCGAATGAATGAATGACGAGTTCATTTTCATCGGAGAATGATTTAAACCAAGCAACCTTTCATATCATTCCATTATAAAGTAAATTTGAGAAAAATCCTATCGTTTATAGTTTTACTTGTTTCTACAGTATTCATGTGATACACATCAGCCAGTTATATGCAACGCAGAACGTAGCGATTTGATGAACCATTAATTCACAACAGTGAAGTTATTAAGACAAATATCAAAGCAATAAAAGTAGCAGCAGTATCAGTAGTAGTAGAAAAGGTATTGAAAATGTGATTCTAGAAAAAATAATTTATCTGTGAATTGAAAAGCATATTCAAGAGAAGAGAAGACAAAGACTGAATGCATTGGTCTTAGTGTTATATTCTGAAGAGAAGTACTGGCTTAGTCACGTCTAGCTTCCTTCTAACCTACTTATACACCAGCGCAACATCGTGAGTTGAAGTGGATGATGCCATATGACACTTAATATATATCCAAATTCACAACTTCACCAACCAGTATAACATCTTTACTCTAGTATCCTGGGTCTTGTCTAAGCATCACTCGCTGATTAGTATCCATTGGTAAAGATGAAAGATTTCATTTGATTAATAAATTGTGTACAACTAGCTATAGAAAAAAACCCATAGATAGTTAATAAAAACTAAGGAATTTAAAGATTATTCAATCGGCTTCCCAATCGACCATTCCGCCAGCATCATGTAATACAATTATGTCTTAGTGTGTAACAATTTCAAACCTTGTTCGTTGGAAGGGTTATAAAAAGAACTTGAATGAGTGTCATAACCCGATTTCAAGGAATATTTCATTCATATTCAAGACATTATATACAATACACATTGGCAATATGTCACCACATTTGGATTTAAAAGTGATTTATATTTAACCTAAGTTATTTTTTAAAATATATTCTGTTATGAAAATCTAATTCACCAGGATCTTAATAGCTCACGATCAGAGCTTAAAGTCTAATTCTTTGTGATGTTATCCGGTAGTTCTCCTTAGCTCAAATTTTATTCAAAAACATAGATGTTAGAATGAAAAATTGTCTTCAATAGTTTGATTATCATCCTATAAAGTTATGAGTATTATAATGGTCAAAATATTGCATACATAAATGAATGAACCAGGTAATGTTACATGTAGAATGTATGAATCCGTTATGGCTTAAATGGATCCAAATGTTTTTACTAGCAAATTGTATTCAATACCTAAAAGTAGGACCTTCTAAGAGACTGGTATAGATTAGATTAAATTTTTAATTATTCATGAAAACATCCAATTTGCAAACTGATAAAATAAATTAATCTCCCGATAAGTATTTAAATATATAAGATATTGTACTTGGGTAAAAATTGAGATTGTTTTGACAAGACTTCTGTGTTTGAGGTATAAATTCCTAAATTTACCTCTGCAGTCACTTATAAGTATTTGCTGCATAAATACTTTTTGGAATATAAGATCACATGATACTGTTTTGTTTTACAGAGATCTAAAGCCAATACTAACTAGATATACATTGAAAATTCCGCTAGAATATAGCTTCGTACATAATTTTGGCATACTTTGATTAGAGCTATTGGTAGGGTCTGAAATGTATGTTTCTTATTATTGGTGAGCCACCAGTCAAATATACCTGCTATTCACAGACTACATAAAATGGAATTTATAGCAAAACTGATTTACTTAATAATGACCACTCTCTAAAAGACTTTGTTACAACTCATTAAGAAATACTGATAAATTTAGAATTTACATTGTAATGTGTTCTTTAAACTTACCAACTTTCAGTTATTAAGATTACTCCTAAATCTCTTAGAATTATAACCTCGATATAACTCAATAAATGACTATGCAGCATAAAAGATGGTACTTCATTTCTATTTTTTCTATCCCCAAAAAATTTGATTTCTTTACACTAAACAAAACAACTAAAAAATTTGATGTGACCATTTGGAATGAATTTATGGTTATGCTCTACCTTTTAAAAATTGAAGTAGGTTCTTGTCGTTGACCTGTAAATCATTTTGAAAATTCATTGGGAAGTAAATGGTTTCAGTATATATATATATATATATATATATATATATACAATTACATATCAGTTTAGCATGTTATTTGTAACGAATTTATTTCATTTTCAAAAATGAAATTTAGGTTAGCAGTTACATTTGACCGTGAATTTTGGTAATCCAAATATTCAATACTACTGAAGTTACTTCAAAGTTTCAGATACACCTGATTATTGTATAACGCTAATCAAGAAACATTTGAGCGTAAAACTTAACTCTATTAATCTCAAAAAGTGGCCTTATTATTATTTAAAATCAATTGCTTAATAGTTTTGTTTTACCACTAGTAATAAACAACAATAATACGTTAATATACAAACTTGAAATCAGGGGATTTAAAAAAAATTGTGTTTATAATTTATCAGGGAATATTACAGTTTCAACATTCAGTTTAGAAAATATTGGTCTGTATATTTCAAATTCAATACTCCAAATTTAATTTATGATCGACAAAAGTACCATACATTTTTTAAAGGTCTCTAGATTTATGTAGAAAATATAATCGAAAATCAAGTCATAATAATATTTGAGATAAATGTCAATGATTTCATTAAAAAATCATACTATTCAATTATAGTTTGTACCAATCTAAGACAATTTTCAAAACTCAATTGAATTCAAGCAAAGGAGAACTATATTAATTCGTCTAAAACATTTAAGGTCGAAAACCTCTTTTATATTTTAGTTACTGAGTTATAAAATTTTGGAATTAAAAAAATAATAACCGTTAGATTAATGTCATCATTTGAAAAATCAGTTATAAAAAAGAATCAAGTAACTGTGTAATTCTGTAGAATATGTACAACTGATCAATTGCAGTTCTAATGCGAAGATAACAGCAAAACAACAGCAAGTGAATTTAGATTAGTATATTTCGTCAACATTTAAAAAAATCAGTTAACTTGTTTCCATTTCTAAACTAATATAAACCATTAAATTACGAGATCAAGTAGAGTTTTTTATAAGTACATGAGGATGATATCAGACCTTGTGATGAAACATTTTATCTGTGGTTAAATCATTAACTATTTACTATTAATGCTTTATATTTTTAGTCTCTGGTTTACTATTATACTCATTATATTGATTTTATAAGTATACTTTGTTTTAATCTACAATAATTTAAACATTTAAATTATTACATAATAGAAAGTTAATTGAATTGTGAAATTGGCTTCTTTCTTTAAATAAATGTCATGTATAAACAAACAATCAAAGATTTTGTAAATAAACGAATATTACCATAAATAATCAGCAACAAAAAGAAAAGAACAAAACAGAAACCATTGAAGTTGAATATTTAATCCACTCAGCAGGAAAATGAAATGTCATTTTTATTTAAAAATTATGTAACATTTTGTTGTTTATATTTATTCATTTATAATGTAAAATACAATTTATCCTAATTCTTTTGTCACATATTAAAATCTTGCATGATCTATTAAACAGTATTAGATGATCATCATATAATAAAACTTGTATATGGTTAATTTGTTCAATTATATGTGAAATTCCGAAAAGGGTCATTTAACTTATTATGAATATTTGAATGAAATGAAAAAAAAAAGGGTTTTTTTTTTCTTTTCAATTGTATACAGTAAATAAACATGAAGGAAGAAAATATTCAATAAATTGTTCACTACAAAAATGTCATAATTCAGTGATATATAAATTATGATTTATTCTTTACTTTAATTATAACTTGTCACATAGGACTTACATTCATTTTATTTAATCACATTTTATTTCTGAAATGCTGCTAGAGATGCGAGAGTGGTTGTCACGTCCCAGTTCGTCATACTCTATAAAAAAGTTTTTCAAGTGTCTGAAAAAGAGATTGGGCTAAGGTAGATCTCGACGACCTGAATGTGTTATCATGGTAACCAAAGTACAACTAATTGATGCCCTTCTATGAGTAGTTCAGTGTTGGCTTTGTACTTCCCAAACCTCACTGCTGCTGGTGGTGATCCATGGAAAAAAGTGAAGTGTTCTACTTTTAAGGTCAAGCTTTAACAAAGTCCCCCTTCTGTTGTGAAAATGCAGGATCGACGGAGATGCTGAAATACGCCTTAATGACAACACGTTCCTGCATATTCAGCCGTATTGCTTTATAGTCGGGTTAAGAATTAACCATTTTTAGTCTACAACCAAGCTCCATGATCTGTTATGATCTCAAAAACAAATGTTCCAGACGAAATAACTTGTCTGGTTCACTACAGTATCTAAGCCTGAACATGGCATCAAAGTAGTAGATACTGCAGGTTTCGCTTTCAACCAACGACCTCTATTATCATCATCTTTACTTTCGTTTTTCAAACTTTCTAGCATCCTAATCAAACTGCAAAATTTTTATAAATAACTGCATATATTTTTGTAAATAAAAATTTATTTTCATCCCCAATAGTCTTAAAGTTTATTAAATATGCTCGAATACAGTTTTAACTTTTTAAATACATAAAGAAAACAATTAAGCTTTTTTGATTCACACATTTCCTTCGAAAGCAGTAAATACTTTTGACAACTTAAGTTGGTTTGTAATTTATGATGTAATAGTTTGTGACCATCAATGAACAATTGATAAAGTACTTCTGTTTACTGAAGGTCGGTTTCGAATCTTAACTTGAAAAATTCTATTTTTCGCTTATATATAACTGAAGTTAAAATAAACCCTTCATAGTCTACAAAATATTGCCATTATATCATACCATCTTCAATTATGTATTTAATGAAATTAATGATGGACATTTTTTAATGACCCCCACTTCTGTTTTTTACATATTTACTCTCAAAAACCACTTAACTAACTTCATAAATATACCTAATTATACTTTAAATGGTGCTTTTTTTTGTTCAATTTCAACTTTTGTTTGATCTTTGTTTGCATTCGATCAACTAATAATATATGTAATTTATATGTTAAGATAAAACATTTCTACTTCATTAAAACTTGAGTTTCAACTGCCGATTAGACATATATATTAAAGTATAATAATAATGAGTATACATTTTTTTCTTGATTACAATATTGAAGAAATGTCTGGTAAAGTATAAATCATGATACAACTGTCTGCTAATTACATTCAAATGTTCTGTAATATAAAAAAGTAATCTTAATTATATCAACATGAATGTGGGTTTTTTCTAATTCTTTAAATATGCATCAAATTTTAATGAGTCTATTCTTTTACTGAATTTTATAATCAGATATTAAGTGACAGTTGCTTTCAAACTCCTATTTTTTTGCAAAGAAAAATATATGCTACATAATTTTTGAGTTGTAATCAAAAGATGAAAAATAAAAGATCAAATGACTTGTTGCTTTGTGTACAAACTTCATCTTGTTGAGAGCATGATGTCTGCAATGATGCTATAATTTGTAAGCTTTAGTGTTGTTAACGTCCAAAGATGTACGCGATCAGTTTTCGTTGTCAAGTATGCGTCTTTAGTAAATGTCTTGATATTCCACGTAACTACAATATAATGATTTGTTTAGATGGCAACAAGTACTGGAGTCGAGCACAAGTTTCAGTGTAAACATCAACATGAAAATGCAGGCAAATCGAACTAACAGGTCATATATGAAATGAAAGGTGCATTTTCAATTTCAGTGCTATCTGCCATACGGAAGATATACAGAATAAATGAGATATGGTGTGCAGTGAAATCCAGAACTTCGTTTCGTCCCATGTGGGACTCGTCAGCTAAATGTATATGCATCCCAGACTTCTTGTTTACTACTAGAAGAAACACGAGTCAACTGCTTATCATATCCTATCTACTTTAAATATACCTATGTCATATTGGCCATATCGACGTAATTCTTACAGAATGATTATATACCGACTAAAATCGATCAAATGTCAGTGACAATAATGACAACGGGACAATCCACATCATTTCAAATTCAATTTTAAAAAAATATGTGTTTGGGAAATTAGAAATGAGTGACGCCAGTTAATATGAAACAAAACTTACTCTTAATCTGGGGAAATGTATTAATTCTAATGGTCTGAATACAATAATTTCACGTTGTTGTATATGCCTTAATTTTAAACGATTATTACGTAATTCAATACGTACAGCATATGTAATAGATGCTGATGCACCACCAGCCAAACAGTTTGTCGGTAATTCAAATGTACTAGGCAAATCTGCTGGTAGTTGAAATTCAAAGTAAAATACATGTATACCACGTGTCAATGTAAATTTTGTTTTTGTTCTGCTATGTTTATCAATGGATGATTGTAATTTTTCACTGGTATTATTATTATCATTTACTAGATCATGATAATTTTTATTAGTATTATTCGACAATATATGTTTATTTGTTTGCTCATTTAAACTAAACTTATCATAATGTAATTCAATGTCATTTGGGGTTTTGTTTAAATTATTATCACTTTTCAATGTTTCAGTAGTGCTACTTGTTGCTAACTGACCAGTTTTCTCCATATGTTTACTTGACAAAACATCATTGTATTGTTTAAGCAAATCAAGTTTCGATTTATAAATTAATTGTAAATCACCATGATATACACATTCTTTCTTCTCCTCATCCATTTCAAATAATCTTTTCCATTGTTCTAAACAGAAATTAGGAAGACATGTTGAATCATATATTTTGTCTGTTGTTTTCGTTATCTGTTGAAATGATCTCGGAGGATAATCGTTATTATTAATAGTAGAACCTGGTGAAACTAATTTATTAAAACTTTGACTACTTTTAATACTGCTTTCAGCATCCAATGAAGATGTAAACGATCCTGAAGCTGAAATCCATGACTCACCAATTCGTGATTCACAAATTAAATCATGATCTAATGCACATGACGAATGATTATAATTACAATTGGATTTAAAATGTGTATCAGATAAGTAACCACGATCAGCACAACAAGTTAAATGTGTACGTGGCGATACAGTTTCATACGATTTACATGATTTTGTTTGTTTCAAAACATTTGATGCATTTGAAAGTAATTTGCAAATTTTATTTTCCGTAATACAAACATTGGTATTAGTGAATTTTTTAAAATTTGAAATAGATCTTGATAAATTAATTCCACTTGCTAATGAACCAGGTCTATTCATATAGCTTTCATTTTCAATATTCCAACGGGTTTTAGCCAATCCATATAACCACACAATACAACCTTAATATGTTAACCGTGAAAAAAGAAGCAAATAAACAATTAATTATAGAGTATCACAGATTTTATGAAATATACACAATGATGTAGATCACTAAATATAAACCATAGTTCAAAAATTTTCTATAAACCGATTTTATAGTTGAGTTCAACTTGATGTCAAGTTTTTATATTCATATTGTTCGGTGAAATTCCATTAGATATAATAAACCTCACAATTGACTGATCACTGGGTGGTGATCAATATCATGTATATCAAGTCCTTTTTAGTGCAGATCGAATGTAACCGACCAAGTTGCAATGTGGCCACTAGTCTAGGTGATTTGACATTACGTGCACATGTTGAGATGAGATGGTGGTTGGAGGTAGTCAACAGGGTTTCCTGTTGAAAAACACATTACTTTTTAGAATATCCTAGCAAAAAGGTTTCTCAGTGGTTACTGTCTATAAACTACAAATTCAAAGTTTATTATGATATACGTTTCTAGTATCTTTAATGATTATCAACAATTAACTTTTTCTAACCACTTTCATAGATTTTAAAACGATTTTTTGACGAATACTTAACACTGATCCTCTTCAAAATGAATCTTTTTCATTGAATTTTTGTTGTTTTTCTATTTTCTACAAAAATTTACTTATATTTTTCATTGAAATCACAAATTGATCTAACTTAAACAACCAGTGTAAACCTGAAATCATTGATTGGTTATTTTATCTTTAATTATTGTAATGTTCCAAATCGTGAAATTCTCATAGTAAAGAGAAAATCGTAAATAAGCGTTCATTTCTTTATCTATCACTTTTATTTAGTTTTTTCTTTCATTTCTAATATTTGCATGAACAGTTACAATAAGAATAAAATTTATAGCGAAATTAGAAAACAGAAGAAGTTCATTTAACTGGAAAGTGTAATGCCCTAAACTCAGAAAGTTTTCAGTTTGTAAAATAAATCACTCAACAGATTCATTCTATCTATTCATTTTAATAAAACTTTTTTTGGAAAAATCTTCCAGATAAATAGCTGAAATGTAGATATTCACCTAGAAATATTAAATGACCATCTTATAATATGATGAAATGACTTAAAAAAACCATCAGAAGCCTTGAATGAAAGTTCAAGACAATGCCAATGATGTTTATGATTCCAATGAAATTCAGCTATTTCCACAATCCCTAAATAACAGTTATCACGAGATCACAGATGACTAGCTTCGACAGGAAACCCGCTGTGTTCTGATGAGAAGCCACACAGTGAAGTTCAACCGTGCTAGGTGCGAGGCGTTTACCATGCTGAGGAATCCCACATCAGGAGAAAACGGCCGTTTAGTGTTTCTAGGTTTTCAACCGCGGTCTAACATTGATCAGTTTATTATCTCATGATCACATTCCGTATTTTGTTTGTAAAATCATTGTTGTTCAATAAAGGTTAAATGAGGTATCTTATTACAGATTACTAAATTACGGAGTTGTATATATCACAAAACCCTTTTATAGTTGTAAAGTGGTGAAAAGTATCAATCATTTAATCAAATTTTAACGACTTAGTGAAATAGTAACAATTATTTGCAAATTATTAGAATAAGTTCATAAGTTTACAGGATCTGTTTCTGTGAACACATGTAATTATGATGTATATTATATTTCTGACTGAGTAAAGTGATCTTTGAATTAAGTCAAGATTACCTAACTGAATTACAAATTGTAGATTTACAGAACTGACATGTGAACACTAGTGAAGAAACTATTATTATCAACAATTCAGTCAGTGCTGAATTTATTTGAAGTTTTGGGATCAAACCTTAGTAGTGACAATTATAATTCCTTTTTTTAAGTTGAAACGAAATCCAAAAAAAATATTCGTAATAATTTTTACAGCTATAAAACTGAATAAACGATATGACACAGTTGAGAAAATAAATTTTGGGAGGAATTTAATCATTAGATTGATATAAACAACACAAAACAGAACATAGCGTCTACTCTCAAAAGATTTACTAACAAGTTATTACCAGTAATACACTAAAATATAAAAATCAATTTTGTTTTCTCCTAAGACTGGCGATAATAATGATCTTTTATGTTGATCAAACGAATCCCGAGATGAAATTCACACCAGCACTTTGATAAAATATATCCGGTTATATTTTACTATTATTGCGAATAATAATAGCGAAACTCATATTATTTATTTAATGATAGTGAATTGTAAGATATGTAGTTTTGCAATATAATTCACTTTTAATAAGTATTCAACTTATAAATACTTCAAACATATCTGTACAAAATCTTTAAACGGTGACTAAAACACATTCGTGCTCATTTATGAAAGTTTTCAACCAATCTTGATTCCAAGACACCTCATTTCATTTTCTAATTAAATGACGTAGGAATAAGATAGTAGTAGACTATAGTTTTTCAAATGGACATAATAGAAAATAAATAAACGAACCACCAATATGGTATTTTTTTAGTTGTGATAAATCGAAAACAATTTATGCAGTTGAATAAGTAAATCTGGTAAACAAATATAATCAATAGATTAAAAGAAATCCAAAGCAGTATAAAAAAATGATGCACGGGATTTTGATATTTCTCAATTCTACTTAACCATGTTATTATAGAAATGAGAATAGTTCGGTTTAAAAGATTCCTGAAACTCATGAAAATTCACATAAGATTATTTTTGTATTCATGAGGAGAAAAGAACAATAGTCTAATTGACTATATGATGATCTAGAGTATAGTGAATTCTTATTATTAAAACCCAAGATTAATCTCATCATTCTGTACTTATTTGTCTATTACCGACTTAGTATTTTATCACACTTTATACCTCTGAAGAATATTACAAGCTCAGTTAATGCTACACTCTAATAATGGAACTACCTCTGAAAATGGTTTACTTTAGATAAGAAACTTAATTTTTTTATTAAAGATAGTACTAAAGAGTAAAATAGTTTAAATCTTTGATCTCATATAATTCAATGAAATGAAAATCAAGTTTTAATTCTCAAACCAGTCAATGTTATTTTTCGAAAAAAATTAATGTCCATTTTATAATCTCATCAAATGAAGTTCTAACATTATCTACTTTAAATATACTATTTTTAAGTTTATTGTATGAACGAACAAATTGAATTGAATATATATACATATACGGAAAATCACTTCCTTATCTCTTTTTTCTTTTATAACAAAAATAAATCATAATCAAAAAGTTTATTAATTCTATTTCTTTTAATCCACTAACTTGAATTTACAAAGCCTATAGATTATCCAACTGTTTTTTTTTAAAATAAGAAAATCCAATAAACAAAACCAAATTGTTTTCTCAAGTATGAAAGGAAAACAAACTGAATGAAATTACTTATAAGAAAATGCTTACAAGTTAAAATAATGAAGATTTTAATAATTGAATTTTTAAGCTCAGTGAACGGAACACCCTAACGTTTCTACATAGTGTATGCAATTACGTGTTATTTAGACAAGTGGAAATAATATCTTGATTGATGCAATTTAATCAATAGTTAAAAGACTGAACATATATAATATTGATTACCAGTTAGCAACCAATTAATTGTAAATATCTCAAGGGTAGTTCAAATGGCTTACTAGTAACGCCTCAGAATATAAAGTTGTATGATCACATAAGAGTGATAAACTATGTCAAAATTATAAATTCTTCTTGCTGTTGTCACGTATTCAAGGTTCAAGATTTTTTCTTGACTATCTTAAACTACCTGACACTTAAAATCCTCTTTCTTTAACATCTTAAGGATGCATTTTTGATTAGATTTTCATTAACTGTACTCGAGTACTTAAAAGGGTTCTGATTTGTAGTGAGTACTTTTTTTGATTTCATAGGATTAACCATAATTAAATTGATATGACAAATTAAAATAAAACTGAAGTATGTACAATTGTAATTTTCCAATTTAATTCTTTACACTTGTTTTTCTTTTAGTTTATTGTATTTTTAAAAAATCTTTTCACAGGATAATAGTGAATTTTTTTAACATATACTTCTTTCTTTTAATATGTATATATGCTCTCTTAAGGCATTATTTATAAAAATCAGATCAGAAACTTCGGTTTATCATTGTTGAGAATAGTAATAATAATAATAATAATAATAATAGATAAGAGTATGTTCATGAAAATCTCACTTGCTTGACTACTCAACTAATTTAAATCAGATAATTTGGTTCATTTCATCGTTGTGGAAAATGATTTATCGGAAGAAAGTTGTAAATTTATTAATGAGGCGCTTTGTTTTAAAGAATTCTCTAAAAATGCGTTCACAAAAAGCACTCATGGAAATCACTAGAAAAAAAGTAATCGTAGTTATTGAGATAATCAATATGGCACTTAAATCAAAAGGGAAATTTAATTATTCATGTATAATTAACTAATCCATAACTTGGTAGTAAATATATTTTTTTTGTTATCTCCAAATGAGTAAAACAAATTGGATTTTTGACGTTTCATGAGTTAATGTAAATTAACACAAGTATCATTTGTACTCTTCGAACTTATTTTAATTTATTTCGGTTGTTTATTTATTCTGAAGAAGTGGCTTACATTAAGTCACGAAACGCCAAAAATACAATTTTTCTACTCATTGTGATATAACAAAACATATACTTATCATTAACTTTGTACTCGGTGTCGAATATATTTGAAACTGTTAAGTCCAACCCTGGCAATAATACTTATAAATTTACAACTTGATTTTAAAGTTTACTGTAAGACTGATAGGCAGAGGTGACTGATGACTAGCACCTGAATTTTAGAACACGTGTTTTGTTCTATTTTGGACTTGTCAGCTGGATGCAACTGCCTCTGAAGGTTGATGTTCACTCCGTGACACATACAAAAAGAGACTGCTCAGTTGCAGTATTAAAACTGAATGAGGAGTTTTAAAAAACCGATACAAAAAATGTATGATAGATAGTTTAAACAGAACCTAAATTCAAGTTATGCTTTTTCTTTCAGTCAAC